TGCTTATTATTAGAGAAAAAACAGCAAAATAAACGGTATAGATCGAAATGGAGTAAAAACTGGCTTTTAAGCGGCGGCTACACGAAAGCGACTTGCCTGCACGGTGTAGTTTGCGCAAACTAGAAGGAACACTGTGCGGTGTCCACACGATGCAAGTAAGAGCGTACATTCGTCATTATTTTTATTCTGAATTTGTGGTTCCGTTCGTGGAAAGACCAAGTGACAAATTATTGTTTTTTTATTGCTTATTGTTAAAGAAAAAACAGCAAAATAAACGGTATAGATCGAAGTGGAGTAAAAACTGACTTAAATAGAAAACCATTTTCTTGTACGCATAATTTTTTCTGTTTCTATCGGAATAATCTTTCAATTTTATCTTCCATAGACATGGCAACGATCAATATTTCAATAAAACTCGTCATAAACTCCTTATTGGAATAAGTATGAATATCAGACATTTTCTAAGAGTTGATAACTAATAACACAAAACCCACAAGTCACAGAACTGTACCTTGAACTCGCTGATACCGTCTACACGTATGATATCACCGCACAAACTGGTGTGCGCAAACTAAAATCTTTGGCAGCGCGACGTTTACGCAGGCCGCGTTTGTTGGTTTGTGCGTGCTACCGTTCTACCGTCTACACACAGCGAGTTCCCGACACAAACAGGTTTGTGCAGGTAAGCTCGTGGTAAAGCTTGTACGTGTAGCCGGCCCTTTAGACGCTCTTTCTTCCCAAGGATCAGTTATTATTCAATAAAATAAACATTTATATCTTTGAATAAAAAGAATAAGGAAGGGGTATATTGCTCCATGTATTCATGCATGGTGGGCGGAAAAAGGACTTTAGGGTGGGGATCTTTGACAGTTCTGTTTGACGATTGATTTGACACATTTGAATTTGATTTGAAATTTTGTAGATTTCTCAGTCTTTACTGAGCTTATTTTATGTTATTTATTATTTATTCTACTACCGATAGTTGTATAAAGGTAGTAAATCTAGATGGAAATTGTGGTAGAACTTAAATTAACAGTGACACTATTGACATTTTTCGAAAAAGACTGAAAAATAATTGATTGTGTAGCGTGGTCTCGGTCAAAAATCGAGTGAAATAATGGAATAACTTTTCGCTATGTAGTGATACTATAAATAAACCGATCATTTATGAAATTCACTTAAATTAACTAATTATATATTTTTTCTTGCATTTTTTTCACTACTTGTTAAAGATTAGATGTCAAAGAATTTAGATACCTCAATTTGACTTTCAGTAGCGTATCGGATGCTTGTGTTAATAAATAATTATTATAACTTATCTATTTTTATTAGAATTATATATTTCTATAACAATTTTAATAAATACCAACATTTATTCATAACGTAAAATAAAACAAGAAATTATTGAGTCTAACCCACGTCTACCCTACATCATAGTTTTACACTTTTTAAATAAAATTAGAACGGCACTGATAAACCGGAATTTAAGTCCGCCATATTTGAGTCCCCTCCCGGTGGATCTCAGATTTTTGATATGCTCCTTCCTGAATCTTTTTATTCACAGATTTATATGTATAAAAACCGCTATAAAAGTCGAATTTTGTCTCAAACGAGAAAATTTAATCGAGCAAAGATCTCATCGCCAGGCCGCTGACCAACATACGTGTGTTTATAATGCAACACTTTATACTAAGAAAACATTTATACATTTACAAAATCGAACAAAACCTAATAATACAGTTTGAAACAATTAAAACTGAGTTCTGAGTTATAATTAAAAAAAGTTACGCTTAACCTTTTGTGTCAAAATTAGATTATTACTTTCGCAATTTTTACACCATTTGATGACCGGTGGCGCCTGTGGTTAGTCTTTTACTCCCCTTAGAAATTATTTCATTAAAGAAAAATATGTTTTATGATTTTGTCTGCCATGCATGGATATATCGATAGTATTATTCAGTGGCGGCTCGTGACTTTCTTTCATGGGAGGGCACAAAAAAAATGAAAAGCTTTCGAGCAGGGGCGGATACAGAAATTTATTTTAGAGGGGGCCCAAACAAAAAGTAATGTAGAATATGCTTTTTAAAACGCCATTTTTAACCCAAAAGCCTAATATTTAACCCAGTTTACATATTTTAGGGGGGGCCTTGACCCCATTGGCCCCCCTCTGTATCCGCCACTGCTTTCGAGCAACTAAAAGATAATTATAATAATTTTTATATTCTCTAAACGTTTTGTAAACAAATTTTAAATGGATAATTTTTAATACATATAAAAAATTAACACAAAAACATTATTTGTATAAAAAATCCATCCTCCTGTCTTTTTTTTTGCTGAAAACTTCGATCACTTTGTTGTCAAAGTCAGGTATCAACTGTATAAACTTTTTTTCTATTGACAATGTTGCCAGAGCGTTCAGTCTATCCTCGGACATAGTACTTCTCAAAAAAGTTTTTATACGTTTCAGAGTTGAGAAACATCTTTCGCATTCCACCGTCGTCATGGGAGTTGTACAGATTATGTCTACTAATTTGTTGGTTTCCGAAAACACTGTCGTCAAGTTATTTTCCGATATAAAGACTAAGACTAATAAAACACCGTCTACACTGCACATATCATCTCTCTCATAAATTGCTGTAAGCTCCGTTTTTAATTTTATACTGTCTAACATTGGATATGATTTTACAGTAGATTCAAAATGATTTTGTGGAAATGACTTCCTGTAAGATTTGAAACTTCTGGCATCAAATAGTTTGGCTGCATTTAAATGATCCTTAAAATCGAAACGGTCTTTGACATGAACTAAAATTGTATCCAATACTTCTTTTGCGATTGTACTCCGACTGTCTCCAGTTGATGTCACACGTGGGCGCTTGGCAGGATGTATTACTTCATCTTCGTCACACTCCAAATCATTAAAGCTTTGCCTGATTTGAACAATTTGTTGCTCAAATTGATCAACTGCGGCTTGCATTTGGGAGCTCTCAATTCCTCGAGTTTGTGCCTGATTGAAAAAAATCTCGACATGAGGCATTAATCTATGAAACATATTCAACCAGTACATGAACTCTGGACAATCTAAGAACTTTAATAAACCAGATGCCTCGCTTATTGTTTTTGAATCAATTCCTGGTTGATCAATAATATTTTCCAAGCATTCTTTAAGCAATTCATTATATTCAAAAACAGTGTTTACGACTCTACTTTTAAAATTCCATCTCGTAGCTACGGCGCGTGGTAACCTCCGTTTAACAACTTGATCCAAAACCGCTGTACGTTTTGGGGATCGGGAAAAAAAAGTTGAGAAGGACTGAACATTTGCAAAAAATATTTTGATATTTCTGTTACATTGTGTGGCGCGTTCCATAATTAAATTAAATTGATGTGCATAGCAATGAACGAAGTGAGCGTGGGGAAATATGTTCTTGATTATTGCCTGTACTCCATTATTTTTGCCACTCATTACTGCTGCGCCGTCGTAGCTTTGTGCTATTAGTTTAGAATTATCAGCCGGTGAATTTAAAATTAATTTCAATTGGTCCATGAGGCAATTGGCTAAAATATCTGCAGAATACCCCTCTGGTTTAACGAATGCCCAAAACTTCTCAAAAATTTCACCGTTAAAAACATACCGAATTATAACTACCATTTGTTGTTGATTTGAGGTATCTGTTGTTTCGTCGGCTTCTATGGCAATAAACTTAGCGGATTTTATTTGATTTATCAGTTCATTTCGATATACCTCAAACATAGCATCTAATAAATCATTCTGGATTGTTTTTGAGGTGCCTTTAAACACTTTGGCATCTCTTAAATGTAATGCAAGAGCGGAATCTAATTCAGAGGCAAAGTTGATTAAACCTTGATAAATACCTGGATTTTCAGATGAAGATGTTTCGTCATGTCCCCTCAACGCCAACTCAAAAGCACCGCAAAATTTAATACACATTATAATTCGCCGTAAGATATGACGATTTTTGTCTACGTTTTCATTATACTTTAGTTTATGTTGCAAATACGCACTATTTAATTGTTCTCGAATGTCCACTTTTCCTAACACATTAAAGTCAACATAGGCATTCATATGAGCCTCCGAATTTTCGTGTTTTTTTGTCCTTTCGCCTAAATGTTTCAAGTCACTAACACCTTGATAAGTCCACGACGTGTTCTTTTTTTGAAATCAAACAAACGAAGCAAAAAAGTTTATTTGTTGTTGAACAGCCACATAACCACTTATATTTCTCGTAAACACCTTTGTTAAACACTCTTTTGTAACTTCGTGTTTTACTAGTAGACGTATAGCTAATGTCCAAATCTGGGGTAGGTCTTTCTTGTTCTTTAATTAAAATTTTTTCCTGGTATTCCAGCGAAGCCTTTTGAAATATATATTGCACTCAATTTAATTCTAGTTCCATATTCAATAAACTTAAAAATAATTAAAATCAAACAAAACTCAATAACTCCAAATCAACAAACAATATTCAATGATCCGCCTCCTCAAACTGAACCAATCAATTAAATAACGTGTGTGTAGAGTAGTGTTCATATAAAATTCGCCGACGTTGCCGTCGCGTCGCAAAGCGAACCGACAAGTGCATGCGAAGAGAGGAAGAGACGCAAAATATTGTGCCCATTTCGCTAGCGAATTAACCATTACTTTTAACGGTTCGGTCACCAGATCGTCAAGAATATGCAATAAATATCGGGACAAAATATGAGTGGTCCCCGGAAACAAGTTTTGATATCCGTTGGCTGAAATATTATCATCTCAATAGTCGGAAAGTAATTTTGATTATTTTTGATGCAATAATATAATAAAATTATTATAATGATAATAATGATGTACTATATTTTTAATTGGTTGGATTTATGGTGTATGGAGGGTGGGCACGTTCCCTTGTGCCCTTTAGTACCAGCCGCCACTGGTATTATTCCATTTATTTATTAAAACCACTAAAAGAATAAACATTTTCATATCAAACAAATTAGGTCAGCAATGGGTTATTAATACGCAGCCATCTGCAAGCAGATACTGTTTAAACCCTTAATTTTAATTAATATGAATATATACATCGCATTTTCCAAATAGCATTGGGTTTGTACATATTAGGTCACGCGCAATAAAATATAAAGTTATGGTTTGTGATTTTTAAACCAAATTTAATGTTGCCCCTTTATTGCCTATTATTCTATTTATCCTTATATTTTACAACACGTGGCAAACTGAATCTTCCTTTTCAAAATCACTCCTCTCTCAGGGAATGATAGCATCTAGCATTCACCAGTAAAAATTTTAAAAATAGCTGTTGAACTTTTATTGGCGCAGTCTTAGCAAATCAGTGAATGGTGAATCAATGATTTCCGTTCATCCAAAAAATTGTACATTAAATAATATTTATGTATCTTTCTAAAACTAAACAATTATACTTTTTCCTTAATCTTTTTATTCAAAGGTCATATCTAATTTTTTTGGGAAGTAGAATTAATTCGTTATCATCAAAGATATTTCAAAATAACTGACTCCTTCATTTCATGGTGCTGACTAAACCTGAACAGGGAAGAAAAACATTGATTAAAACCTGCAATACTTTGATAGGAAACAAGCGGACTGGTCAATAGCTAAGGAAATGTCGTTCTATTTTTATAGCGCACGCAATGTTGATATTAAAGGACACTCCTAGTTCTTTACCAATTCGCAATATTTTTCAATTGACCAGAAAATTAAATATTTCGAGTTAGAAGCCAACTGGTAGCGGAACTAAAAATTAATTTTCGGAGTAATTAATGAAAGAAGCTATTCTGATTAGTATTTGCGTCCTTGAGTATCAGTTTTTTTTAAATTAGTGACTTCAGCTAATAATTTCCACAACATTATCCAAATTTGAAAATTGAACTGTCTTTATAACAATGGTTTTGTTTATTAATTCATTATTTTCTATGTGCATCGTTTTTAAAATCATACTTGGTAAATTACCGCCGCCTCTGTATTTCGCTGTATAGATTTGGTGCATTCTCCGCCGGTACTGCCACCATCGGAGAATATCGTAAACAACTAGTATTTACAAATACACGGGTTTAAATAGCGAGAATATGAAAAATTTATTATTTAATTATTCTAAAAGTGTTAGGAAGTATAATTTGTGAAAATTCTAAAAATAAAAATAAAAAAGTAAATATTTTGATATCTTCAGAAGGTCTCACTTGTATTATAATTTATTATTCCAGTTAAAGTACTTTTTACATGAGTTCAACTACGGTAGCGAGCATAGTTTTAATCACCGGTTTTGCTAGTGGGGCATAATTGGGGCTATTTCGGCTATAACGAAATTTTTTATAGGCACATATATATAATCTTAGAAGATGTTCATAAAACATTTAATCACTAGTTGATTAAAAAAAGTATACCGGTAATATTGCAAATTATATTTTATCCTCTCATAGTATAGGTATGTATATTATTTAATTTTTTGATTGTGTAATGAATACTTTGTTTACTCACTTGTTTCGTCGAACTGCTTGAATCCATTTTTGCTTTTGATTAAATTGGTGTGGGAAACAATGAAGCTATAAGATGTTGTTTCGGGAGAGTTGAATATCCGGAAAAGTTGAAGTATTGAATGTTATTGCACCCAACAACGCTCTAATTACGCTCTCCTTTACGCGTTAACATTTTTTCTTTTTATTTAATAAATTAGGTAGGTTTATTCCCAGGTTTATCGTTTGATTTACATAACCTATTTTCCTTAAATTTCCCTAATATTGTTTCTGTGGTGCACATCCGACGTAAGTTAATAGATGGTTAATATACATATATATCTATGGTTATTATCAATTTTGTTTTATATGTTAAACAGAGAATAGGTACATTAAAGAAATGCTAACTTCATGTTAAAAAATGGAAACAGACGCCACCTGGTGTAGCCTGGCAGTACTAGCTAAATTGAGGGGAATTGGAGGGGCGGGGCTTAAAAGAGGGGAAATTTTTTAAAAAATATTTTTATCATAAATATATATATATATATATATATATAAAGTATCACTGATTTACTGTTTAAAGTTAATAAACATATTTTTTATTACTTTAATATAATTTAAAGTATTAAAAAATATGTCTATTAACTTTACACAGCAAATCAATGATATTATTAAAGACTTATTATTTTCAGAGAAAATTCATAGTAAATAAATTACACATTTAGTAAACAATATCATTTATTTTTTAGAGCTGCGATTTACATTACAATAATATTGAAATATATATATATTTTTTAACAATGAAAAAGAATATCCCAGAACCTGAAAAAGAAAGATGATCAATTAATGACTTAAATTAGTTCAAAATACATTTTGCAAATAACTAGTGAATTGGAAAGATAAACATACTATTAAAAATACATTTTAGTAATATGTTATCATCTATTTACTGATAATACATAAGTATATACTAGGTAAATAACATGCATAAGGGCACTATGATACAAATACCTAGTAGTTGTATCATAATAACACACTAATGTCACAAAAAATATGTGCTAATTTAAATTCCTTTAATGATCTAATGAAACACTATCTAGCCTCAATACCTGCCATTCCAAAGGCAAAAAAACTATTATACCAAATAAATATAAGCTGAATTAAACATAAACCAAGCCAACGTGCATAAACAACCAAAAAATGCATCAAAAAATGCTTTTATCAGATCATACCCTTGGATATATTATGTATTTTATATATCGCACATCCCGTTCAAAAGTTTACTAACTCAAAATAGAGAATATAGAGAACATTGTCAAGAGAAGTAAAAGAAAGTTTAAGTTAAGGCAATATGCTCCTTTTTGCATATTAATGGCCAAATAATATAATGTTGATTTAATAAAATTTTACTGGCATCCTTCTGAGGTATAAATCAGATTAAAAGGACATTGTTTTTGTAATAATTGTTTGTTTTGTAAACATTTTTTGAAGACAATACAGTTTTGAACGGGCTGTGCGATATAAACAAGGATCTTACTATTATTTGAGGTTAGAAAGTATTTAAATAACATAAAACATAATCAAAATCATTTTTCATCATAAATTATAGAGAGGTACTTACGTGTTTTGATATTATCAGGAAATAATACGTTTAGTTAAACAGGTACGCTGCCAGGCAAGTTCTATCGGCGGGTCCTTGCAAAAGTTGAAATCTAAAAATACAAAAATACGTTTACATCTTAGTTGTATTTACGAATAAAGTATTTGTGTGTAATTTCAGACTTACCAGTTAATTGAATAATCGTATTAAATACATCCAAATGGTAATTTAATATTGTAAAAAAGCAAAATTGTTTTAAATCACTTGCCAGGACAGACGGCCAGCTTCTTTATTGACAAAATGGCCGCGGTATCATGATTTAAGCAATGTGAGTGACAAAGAGAGCCAATGCCTGGCAGATGTTGCTTTCTTTGTCGTTGGTCTTGGCACGTTTAAATTTGACTGTTGCCTGTTTTCCCATACAAGTGACACCCCCGTGATGTTAAAGAAGCATAACATTTATCTAGTTCAATGCTACGAAAAATGTGATTATAAATTCTGTGCCTTTTTAACATTTTAAAACAGCAAACTATATTGAAGCTTATCATAATTAATAATAGTCATCTATCGAAGAATGAAAACGAAATTATATTACTATTGAAATGCGTTTTGATTTTTCAAAAAAATTACTATATTTTAATATTTTTTTTTCTAAAACGGTATGGAAATTTGGAAAAGTATAAACGGAATGAACCATTTTAGAATAGACATTTTTATGAAGAATATATTTTTCTCAAAATGTCAATAATAAAAAGTTTTTCCTCTTGTAAAGACAATCACGGGACATAGTGTATAAGAATCTAATAGGTAAACTTATAGGTTTGTTTTAAATATCAATTCTTCAACACTTTAAAACTCTTAGCAAATTTCACTTA